TTATAAAGTACATATCAACGTACCATGCTATTCATAAAGTGGTAAAATTCATTAAGGAGGCCTGGAGACAAAAGGAACATTGTTTACTTATATCGATTGACTTTAAGAATGCATTTAATATGCTGTGGTAGGTGGCTGTGTTTAAACAACTCAGACAATTTCGGTGTCTAAGGAACCTTTTTCTACTACTTGCAAAGTATCTCAACAATAGAAAGGCTGGAATACACGCTGACGATGACTAACTATATAACGATACCCTTTTCCAGAGGCTGTCTCCAGGGCTCGCGTTCAGGCACTGATTTATGTAACATCGAGTACGACAATCTCTGCAAACCTATAACAATAGAATAAAATGCACTTGGAAACTGCAGGGATTCGCTGACAATACCTTGCTCGTGGTATCTCACATAAACAATGAGATTTTATAGGCAGAAGCAAATCTCCTCCTAGAAAAAAATTAATTGATGACTGATGCAAATTAAATACACTACAAATAAACTATGATAAGTGTCAAAATATGATTCTATCAAAGGGACACCAATTGAAAAAAGGCCTAAGAATGATGATGAACAACAACAGAATAAAGAATGTGACCAATCTAAAATATTTGGGCCTGGTTTTTGACTATTTAATTTTATAATAGTAATATATAAAAATAATGCAAAATTTTAATGGTAATTTAATTTCATAAATGTTCTCCAAAATAAAGAATGAGTGTAAAAATGTTTTTAACAGTAAATGACATTACAATTTTCAAAAAAGTTAATAAATAGACTCACAATTCTCAACAATAAATAAACGCTATCAAAATGTATGCAGATTACAACAAACTTTTAAATAAATATGTGGTTTATGTACTCGAAATTGTCGATTAAATCTTCAAAGTCAAAGAAAAATAATGGCGACACTTCCGGTTTGATGGAATGCCGAATTAGACTTGTATGATTGACAAGATAGATCAGTGTTTCTCAACCTCTAACGAATCGTCGCCCCTTCAATAAAACCGTTATGTAGTATCGCCCCCTTCACTTCAAAATTTCGATGCCGAGGGCCAAGGCTAACGCCAAATTCGTATTGCATTGAATAGACTGTGACTAGTATAATGTTATTTGTAAGGATGTACCGATTAATTGGTAAGTAATCCGTAATCGGCCATATCAGCCATTTCCCCAATTAATCGATTTTAATAATCGGCCAATTTTGCATTTTAATGTTTTTGTTAGCATGTCACGTATAATGCTAGTAATAAAAAATAATAAATTTCTGTTATATATTTATTATTTTATTACATGATAATCTAAATATTAAAAAAAATTTTTAACTTAAATTATTTCTTTTATCAATACATATCATAAGGTTTAATGTAACCTATTCAAAACTATCTGTTTTATTTAAAGTTTAAACATTAAATATATAAAACAAATAAAAACTTTAAAATCCTTAAACTGTAATATAAAAACATGAGAATTTCACCATTTTCAGGGTTCTTAAATGTTACCTCCAACTCTGAAAATTCTTTCACTTTCAATAGAAGATGCTGGGGGACTTAGATATTTCAAAAGCTATTTTGCTCAAATTAGTAAAAAATTCTTTTCAAATTTCCCACCACAAAAATGGGTGCTATGTCTTTGTATAAGAGGTAAATGTAAATATTTTTCTAATTCTTGATCGAAACGATTGTTCGTTTGTTTCGTTTTTTCTTCCTTTCTAAAAACATGCTCTTATTCATTCTTTCGTTCACCAGAAGCTAATTCATCAAATAAATTAGAAAAACTCGGAGATTATCCTCCATCTTGATCGTCTCCAGAAGTAGAAGCTTCAGAATTTAATTCTTCTTAAGATTTTGAATTATCAACATCATCTAAGCTATCGATTGTCCATCTTTTTATTTCCTCTACCATTTTTTTTTTTAATTTAATTTTGAATTCTGGATCTAATAAGGATGACAACAATGCTTGTCTTTGGATATGATTTTCCGTTGTTACTGATGAACATCCAGCTTCTTTCGTTTCAGAACTTTCTCTTTTCATCTTTTAAGTTTATTTTTTTAAAAATTTTTATAATGACATTTTTCCAGATGATTTATCATGTTTTTAGTGGCGAAAGTTTTAGCATATTTTCCATCTCTCGAAATAAAAGACGCATAAATTGCACTTGAAAAACTTCTCGTTTTCATCTTTCTTAAAAAATTTCCAAGCAATACAATTAATTAAAATTAAAAAATTTATCAAAATAATAATTTATCATTTTAATTTAAATTAATACATGAATCTGAAAAAGAAAAAAAAATAGCTTCATGTTGAAAATTATTTTTATAACAAGTTGTTATAAAATTATTTTTATTGTATGAAATTTTATGTTTTTTATTAAAAATATATAATTTAATGCGATAATAATCATAATATAATTAACTATTAACACAATAAATTATTAACACTAATCGACCGATAATGCGTGACCGATTAATCGGTAATCGGCCATTTTACTTATCGGTGCATCCTTAGTTATTTGTTTAATTATTGTACGATATAACGAATAAAATATCTAATTATTTTTAATATAATGTTTTACTATATCGCCCAGAAAATTGTTTTTCGCCCCAAAATATAAATTGTTACTAATCGCCCCCTCAACATGGTCGTTTTTCCATGTTGAGGGGATACACTGGGATAGATCATGTACCATAGCCAATTACAATCGAAATTTTATCTATGCGTGACATTGTTCGATGCTTATTCCTTTATTTAACATATATAGATTAATATATATATATATATATATATATAAAATAATATATAATAATAATGTATATATTGTTGCTCACTGTGTTACGCTGTGCTAGTTCACACGTAACTCTGTTTCCTAACACATTTTGATAACACAAACGAATACTGTTACATGAGTATAACTAGATAACGTGTTTGTAAACAAAATACTGCGCAGTAGTGAGGTGCAGTAGCACAGCGTAATAATCTATCAATATATGTTAAATAAAGGAATAGACATCAAAAAATGCCACACACAGTCAATTAGAATCAAAATTTCATCTATGGCACGTGATCTATTCTGCTAATCATATAAGTCTAACTTATAGCAAACCGGAAGTGTCGCCATTAATTCTCTCTTGCATTGCAGATTTAATCGACAATTTCGAGTACTTAAACCACATTTCTATTTAAAAGTTTGTTGTAACCTCCATATATTTTAATAGCAATTATATATCTATAAATACTTTTCTAATTAGTTTCGTATTTATAGTTGTTTCAGACATAAACGGTTCTATTCTTAACAACAATAATGGCAGCACATTTGGTTTCGTTAAGGGGCGCTTCCATTACCTTTAAAAATTTACTTTCTTAACTGGGCAGCAATTTGAAAAAATTGTAGACCTATAAATTTCCACTGACGTCTGTCTGTCTGTCCTTAATCTCGAGAACAGTGCTAAGCTTTCCTATCTGTCGAGATATGAAAAGAATAGGGGCAGGAGGCCCGATTAACTAATTAACTATATACGAACTTTCGATGTAAACCGGAAGTCACGTTATTTCATTTCAAAATTTTTCCTTGAAAGGAGTTAGACAGATGACCGGCATGACTCAGTTATTAATAGAAAAAGTGTGATATACAGGGGCAAGACACTACCAAGTTGAGATAGAGAGCATATATTTTAAATTAAATTAATTAAAAATATGATTAAACATTGCAGCCAGGCATTGTGACGATGTCACAATAAATAATTGCTCATTGTTTAAGTAATTTTTTAATTAAAATTTATATACTACATAATTTTTTCCCGAATATCCGAGACTGAGAGGTTTGTATAAAGTTTAAAATTTTGAATTGAATTATATATATATATATAATTTAATATTGACTGTTCCTTAAAGTTTCTATTGATTATCTCTTTATTTTTTCAAACGTATAGTTACATTTCGTTACATTAATTTATTCAGTACTTTTTATCTTTTTTAGTTATGAAAACACAAAAATTATCTTAAAAGTTGTTTTAATAAAAAGTTTAGAGAAAACTTTCGATTTTTTTTTTATTAAAAATAGCAAAAGCAAATGATCCATTAATTTTAAAAATAATGCGAGTTTCAAAGTTTTTTTTTACTGAATTTAAATTAAAAAATTTAATTTTACATTATTTTTTAAATCTTTCTATTGTTTTCATTTTGTTAANATTATTAAATGAAAGCCAAAATTGTTCGTGGCAATTATTGTATTTTAGCATTGTGAATTAAATAAACATTAATACAGCACAAATAAAAAGTCAGGAGATTCTCGACTTTCGGACAACTTGACTTACGTATGTAAACTCAGAAATACTTAAATCTCTTTTAGTATCGGAACACAAAATTCGAATTTTCGTAAATTTATAGTTGACAAAACAAAAATTTTGTGTATGACATTTTCTGCTAGTTTCGATTTCAATAACAACAAAATCATTTGTGAGAATCAATTTCTATTGCCTGTTATTTGTTTAATTTATAACTTTATGGTTTTTTTTTTATACATTTGTAATATAGTTACTGTAAAAAGGTAAGACTTTTCAACTTTAATAAAAAATTGAGCACTAGAGTTGCAGATAAAAGAATTTAACTTTTTTACCTGCAACTCTAGTGCTCAACTTTCTTACGTACAGTATTTTTAAAACTCATAATTTTCGAAAATCGGCGACTGCACGTATGTATATTTTATTTTTTGGAGCAGTTTTTAAGTAAATTAATTATAATATTTTAATAATTTCTTTGAAACTTATAATCGAGATGGGTTGATGATAATAATAATAATAAGCGTAGAGCCCAAACGGTTAGGAATTGAAAGTTAAAATTTGGTACAGTTAGGGTATGCCATGAGAATAAAGAAATCATTTACTATTTCTTTTATTTTTGATACAATTCTTTTCTTATTTATTAGTGAAAAATATAAGGATTTTTTCTATGCAATGTCTATGGAAGTCCACAAAGTAATTAAGAGGAAAAGAGGTCCCTGTGTAAAAAAGAAGGCTGAGAACAACTGAATTAGAGTCTTCCATAATTGAATTACGTAGTAAATTAGAAAAATTTATGAACATTTCCTCGGTAACATTATCATTAATACTAGTAGTAATTTATTAAATTTAAGCAATATTTAAAACTATATGTTTATTTACTTTTGTTAACAATTATTACATATTGTAAAAATTTTTATCTGCCATATTCTTTAATCTAAAATAGTGAATATACTCCGAAAATATTCCGGTTTTTAGAATAATAAAATATTTTATAAGTAGAATAGATCGGGTTAGTTGAGTCAAATTAAAAATTTTCATTACATATCTGATATGCATACACGGGAGTTGGGAGGAATTCAGTAGTGAGTAGACAGTTGTGGAAACCAGTTTATTTTCTTTTGATCCCAAAGTTCTTTATTTTATACAGTAATTTCCCATCAGATATAGTAAGAGTCTTCCTTTTAATTTAAGTTCTGCTATAACTTCCAACAAGTAATTTATAAGCATTTTTGAGTTCGCGTAGCCAAAAATGTCTGTTNTTAGATTTTACAAATACGTGTGCCGGGCTGTGAACGGCTCACATATTTGTAAAATCTAAGTGACTCGTACAACATGTAATTCAGATAAAACGGAAAAATCAATGATCTTATAGGGGGATCGACTGTATTCTTTCATCAAGTTCGATCAGTATAAGTAAGGAATATGACCAAATAGCGAGCAGGTTAAGGCATCAGCCTACCGTTCTAGAGACCCGGGATCTAATTCCGGCGGGTCGAAAAACCCCAGGATTTTTCTGGGTAGTCTGTACCAGATATGTCGAGTCCCGTTCCTCCACATTGTAGGCTTGACCAATCTCGCTGTGGATCTGAAATAAGGTTCTCTTAATGTCCTCAGGGAGGAAAGAATCTTACAAAGTTACCTGACCATTGTAAGCTAATTCTAGTCAGGTATATGTTTAAACCTTCCAAGGTGACCAGGTTTAAACTTACAGAAGAAAGAGCTGATTAACTGAACTGTTTAGACACTAAAACTAGACACTAATCACTTAAGCTCTTATTTTCGACAAAACAAGAGTATTGTCCAAAGTAACTTCCATTTAATCTGAAAGAAAATACAGTCGACTCCCCTATAAGACGGTAGATACGTTCCGTTTTTTATGAAATTGATGTTTTAGGAGACCTTGCCAATCACAGCCCGACACGTGTGAAGTTTGCGGACTACGGCTGTTTGAAAGGTTTTCTTCCATAAAATTAATCGATTCCTAGACTAATTCGACTCAACATTTCCAAAACACGTATATTTTTTGGGGGGAATAATTCGTATAAACTATGCTATAAACAAAAAATTGTAGGATTATTTACCGAATGTACACCGTTCGACGTCGCCATTGCTTAAGCTTGTTTTCGTCGCGGAGCAGCGTACCAAACGGCGGCCGCGATTTCTGATATGTTATTTTTCTGCGAAAACTTCGTTGAACTTTGGAGACATCATTAATATAAATAATTTTTATGGTCATTGAATAAGAAATGTTTCTTTCACAAGAAATGTATAAAATTAGTGCTGTATTAGACTTACGGTACCTAATTTACATACTGNTTCATTTAAGTTCTGCTATAACTTCCAACAAGTAATTTATAAGCATTTTTGAGTTCGCGTAGCCAAAAATGTCTGTTGGCTACCATGTAGAGATAGATCATGCATGCACTTGGTGGTGACCAGATCATTTGTTACTCTCTCGTTCCGGTTCCGTTTGATGCGCTCTTCACAGCTGAACTTGTCAAAACGAATTCTTTGGGTCAAAATTTAGATTAACAACAAGAACAATAAGACTGGATTAATTAAGTCTAACATATGTAAATATACCAATAATGTCCAGCATAAATTATACTTACTAAAACTAATGAAAAAAGCCATTGCAAAATTTCATTGGTTGGAAAATTCCGACGTCAAAAACAACGATTCTCATTATTTTAAGTAACTACATTATTTTAAGTAATAAGTACTCTATGTAGATTCAACAAGAAATGGGTCTACGTAGGAGCAAGGGCTCGATCTATTTACAGGCGTATCAAGGACCACCATTATTCTATCCAAAAGGGTCTTTCCATTATAACGTTAACGACACTTGCATCTGAAAACGATATAAGGACACTTCTCAATGAAACAATATTAATACATCCTAATAGGAATTGGACTTATCCGAAACATCTAGAGATTCTCGAAATATACAAAGCTAATTTTCAAGACAGAGCCATAAATTAGAGGGATGCAGATACATTCTCTAAAGCATAGAAATCTATTTTTGATATAAGACTATAAATTAAATCTTATTACTTAAAAATAATCGTCATTTTTGACGTCGGCGTTTTCCAATCAATGAAATGATTGATCCTTGAGTTTTTAAAGAGACGTTTGAATTTTCACATTGATGTTCGACTTTAACCTGAATATGACGATTTAAAAATCGTCGAAAACGTTTTTTCATTAGTTTTTAGTAAGTATAATTTTTGCTGGATGTTTCTGGTATATTTACGTGAGTTTAAAATTTAGATTTTTATGGATCTACTATTAGCAGTTATCATTGAAGAAAGGAGACTGATTTACTGTCAAAAATGTAAAAATGGTATCATGAAATATTTCGGAGCTGTTGGAAAAAACAATTTGTATGTGACAGTGCCTTTAAAATAATTCCTTTTGTTACTTAGCAATTACTTGATATATTGTTCTATTTCATGCTTAATAAGTTGATGTATTATTATGCAATATTTAGCTCATTAATAGCCCTAATGCTTTGTTTTTATCATTTCAATTACTTTTTAAATAAAATTTAAGTAACTTTATATTTTAATAAAAATAAGAAAGCATACTTGATCCAAACAGCTCCAATCTACGCTGTGATAAATAATACGTAGATGTAATTAAGAGGATTATGCCTACTGAGTGGAAATCTCTGTTCTTGATAATCCTTTGTGAATATTCTATTCATCAAAATATAATAACGAGACAATTATCTTTCTGTGGTTAAGAACAAATTTCCGCGATTTTTAACAACAGAAAAAGGAGTAAATACAACTTTTCACGTAAATAATATGTACAGTAAATGTTATTTACATATTATTTACCTGTACCTGTTACATAGGTACTGTACCTGTGTAAACTGAAATAGCAGGGTATCGAATATTTTTTTTTTTTTCGTTTTGGTAGGTTTTTGTTTTACTCAGGCTCCACTTTAGACAGGTTTTATATTACGCTATATTAATAAATGTTTATATTTAATACCATGTAATAATATAATTCGTAAGGCCAGTTGACCAAGGTAATTAAAGCATCAGACTAATATTCTGAGAGGCCCGAGTGCAGAAATTTTCCGGCGGGTGAGCCTGGTCGAATCCACGATAGAAAAAGATCTCTTAGTGCCCACAGAGCGGAAGGAGTAAAAATTTAAAAAAAAATAATAATACATTCCATAAAAGTTTCATAGAAATATATTCAATAAGATTGATACGTATCCAACTTTCAATCCAAGGAGACGCTTTAAATTTTTAAGGTTGTGCGACTCGGATACATCGGACTCTGACCGTTAACATTCAATTATGGACTTCGCCAAATCCATGATGAGTATGAAGAAAGACTCTCTTAAATGTCTGCTGGGCAGAAAAAGTTTTTAAAAGTAATTTCATTAATTAAATAAGCTTTAATTCTTGAAATGTGATTCTCTTACAAAATAAAATTCTTGCCAGGAAATAATTATTTACTAATATACAGTATTTTTGTCGTGATAAAATTGTCATGATCCAACATTTCAATGATTTCACCTTTAATTTAAGAGTATTTTGAAAACGGAAAACAACGGAATACTTAAATCCAGAACAAATGAAATTTGAGTCATTTAAAAACTAGCAACTTGAACTCAGCTTAAATTACTAGGATTGCAGTTAAATTGAACGAATGTAAGATATAATCGTTTCCAAGGTAATTAAAAATTATACTATTCATTCCTCATGAATATTTCATATTTTAAAAATGAAATAAGAAACAAATTATAAAATTTACGAAAAATTGTTATATTCGTCATTATATTTAGTAAATTTTTCATGATTTCTTTTAAATTCTGTAAAATTACGTAATAAAGTTTCCATATTTATTTTAATATGTTACATACACCTGAATAAAACAATTTGTATCAAAATAATAGACTTATACATTACACTTTACACATGTACTGTACATGTATTTTAGTTTTCTATTATTAGTTGGTTATTACATTTATTACGTCAACGTGAATTTTTGAGCATATTTATAAAGTCTATACATTATATCTATTGTAGCTCTATTAAATATTACATACATTGCCTTTTCATTAGTACATTTTAGTAAAAATTGTAGATCAAGACTCTGTGCTAACTCTTTTGCATCTTTACAGACACAAAACATATGAAATTTTGAAATTACTTTTTGACATCTNATTTTATCATTTTTTTAAATAATAAAACATTTATAGTTCGAGCATCGTGATTCCGATCAATATTTATTTAAAAATATGAAAACGTTATAAAAGCATTGACGTTATTTAATCATTTTACAACCTTCTCCAACTACTATTATGTAATATTTTATTGTTTAGGACGATGTCAGTTATTTCAAAAAGTGCTTTTTACTGTCTCCTTCTATGACGTCCATTCGATAATACAAAAAATATCCAAGAAACAATTTGTCGTGTTTCATTTTTAGAAGTGTCAGTTTTCCGAATTATTTCTTAAAATTTTCTCTGTAGACGTCAAATTACATATATAAGAAATATATCCATAATTAATCATACACTTCTAATTAAAGTATTTATTATATCATTTTTAAAAGAATTTAAAAATTATACAGAGTAAAAATTTCAAGGGACAACAAATACACAATTAAAAAAAAGATGATGTTTTATAATATTCCTTCTATTTTAAAGAACTTTCTAATAGTATATTCGTCCTGAATTTATTAAGAATTGATCTATTTTTCCATTGTGCTATCGCCAGAGGGATGATTTTAACAAGTTTTAAATAGTGAGGTGGAGAAGGGCCTCAAATAAAGGTCGATTTCATCTTTGTGTTCTAAGATGCTAGAAAATGACAAATTATGAAAATGCCGTTTTAATTTGTTTTATATTATTTCTTCTATTCTAGAGAACTTTTTAACAATATATCATATAGCTTACTGTATTTTATTTCTTTATTGTTTACAGCGTGAAAAATATGCTTTGCGTTTTATAAATTCTAATATGTCTTATTTTAGAGCATCATGAACACAATATTATTATTCCATACGAAAAAAAATTTAGGTCTTATAAACTATTACCATTGACAGGAACATTATTGCTACCATTATCAATTTATCACTCTACCACTATTCTTTTACATTATGGATAAGTTTATATATTTTGAAATTTTCTTTTGATTTTAGTTATAGGTTATTGATTTCGAAAACATTTTAGAAATGTTTAGAAAGAATTTTAATTTATCGTTTTTTTATTTTATTGGGAATTATGTTATTTATTATCTAGTTCATATTATCCTAAAATATTTATATGCTTTACATGTTTTCTAGGTAATTGCATCTGTGCTCATATCTTCTGATTGACACTATGCAGCTATCTAGTGGAAGAATATAAACATTATTTGATGATAATACAGTATTTGCAAATATCAATGTCATTTAATATGCAAAATATCTTCTTTTCCAAGAACTTTTGGGATTTATTAGTATCAAATATATATATTAATTTGTCACTCTCATTCGTTTTTTTTAATTTATAGATTGCTTCATCTAAGTTTATTCAGTATCGTTTCCTTTATCTATTGATATAACTTATCGATTTTATATAGGATTTATTGTTAATTTAGATCTTATCAGCAGAGTGTATTACGATAAATTTTATCAATATGATCAAAGGATAAATATACCTTTGGCAATTGCTATGGCTAAAACGGTTGATTTATTTCTACTTACAAAAGTTTGAGCACCTCATCTATATTGATTTATTATCCGAAAGGCAATAACCATTTTCTTAACTTATCGTTATACATAGGTAAAACCAATATCAAATTCTTTCTGTTTTGATAGTATAAAACAATTTTGAGATAGCAGAAAAATTTATTACGAATTTTTTACATATATATTTTTTTATTATTACTTCTCTATGAAAGATGAATCATTTAATTCTAATATAAATATTTATGGATATTTTATACGCTTCTATCTCTATTAATTTATTTTAAAAATAAATAAATATTTTATTGTTTTTCATTTTAATATTTGTAATTTCTTGATTTATTCCTTTAAAACTATCAAATTTAGGCTCTCTTTCAGAATAAATTCCTAATTTTTAATAAAGAATTTTATTTATTTATAGAAGCTACATTCCTGATTTTATTTCTCATATTTTATAAAGATAAAAATTAGTATTTATTAAAAAATTTTTTGTATTCTATTTCATAAAATATATTTTATTTATTGGAGAGTCCGCGCAAATATATTTGTCTTTTACAATATAATTTTACGCTGAAGTTGCCTTGTTTAGAATTGAATTATCGAATTTCTTAATTTTTTTTTTCTTAAGTAATTACTGAAACATCTGGGCGTAAAATGATTTTTTGATTTGTAGTTTTCTTTCTGTTTTTCTAAGAAATCAAATATAAAATAATTAGTGAACCAAAACTTATTAATTTTCTATCTGCTTCGAAATAACAAATCATCAAAAGACACGATCATTATTTCTAAGAAAGAAAAGTTGTAGAAGTTATATTGTTTTGATGAAATAAGAATAAACTGATTATCTCTAGTACCCTCCAGGCTATCATAAAATGAATCAAAGCTGATAGAGTTACAGTCTACAACAAACAAAAGAATTGTTTGTTATAGAACCATTTTTATCGTTAAAATATAATTATTGTTTAATATTTTCTCGAGATTTTATAATTTAAAATTACATAAATATCGACTTTAGTACTGTAATTAAATCAAAAATATTCATTTGAATAAAATTTTATAAAGTTATATAATGATAATACCTCGATTTTTCAGTTGAAAATAATTAAATAATGAATGATTTTATGAAGAAATGATTACCATTAAGGACATTATACCATCAATTTTGATTCGTTACAGATTTCCTGCACAGCTACAACAGAGAAAGAATCATTTATCAAAGTGTCCAAATTCTAAGCCCAACGGGCCACTTACCATTCACCTGGATACTCGCCAGTCAGCAGAGACAAAAATCGACAGCTCCTCTCTAAACAGCATCTGTTGACCCATAAATTCTTCAATGTATGACGTATTGTTGATATCGATTTAATTTTCGAAGATACTCTAAATAACTTGGCTATGTCACGTTTATTTATGCTATATTTATGGTTATTATTAGTCTGTAAATTTCAGTTTTATGTGCTCATTTACATAAAGTAAATGTTAACCGCATTAAATGAGTAAAAATTTGTAATAATTTGCATATTTTGCATATATGAATTCATATTTAATTCGAATATTTATTATATACGTAAAATCTACATAAATTATAAATTTGCGTGTATATAATAACATATAACCTGTTTTAAAAAAACAAATTTTAAACATTTTGAAATGTTAATTTAATAAAGCAATTTTTAATCATTGTAAATAATCGTAAAAAAATATAATAAAACAATTAAATGTGAGATCTTATCATCTATTATTGTCAACGAGCAAATGAATAAAATTCCGAAAAGCATTCCCTCCTTGCAATGACGTTTCATTAATCAGACGTAATTTTCATGTTATTTTCTGTTTTATAGATAAATTTACTTTAAAAAATTCAGTCAAATGGTTTAAATTTGATAATTTACANAAAAAATAAATAAGGTAAAAATTTAATTAAGAAAAAATTATATACAGTCAAACTCTGAACAACGGTCACTGACAACAACAGGAAAAATGGTCGTTGTTGAAAGTAGCCATTACTTGGAGTTTGTTTTGTTTGCGATTTTGTTCAACGTTCCCAAAAAATGGCCGCCGTTTAAAGGTTCTTTAAGTGTATTTAGTGAACTCTATATATATTTCACTAAATTTACATAAAAATCTACAAAGATCAATATGTACTTTCATTCCTCTTAATTTCTTTAAATTGATTATAAAATCAACTGAAAGTTAAACTATAACATATTACTAACGATTTAGAATCAATATTCAATCAGGAAACTTTATTAAACGTAAAACAAAATTCTATTATTTTATTATTATTTCTTTTATATACTCTACTACCTATTCAATAAAATTATTTGCTTTATGTTTAGGCTTATTTATTTTATTTTATTCTATTTCATAATACTTTTTGTAAATTTGAATAAAGTAAAAAATTAATTAAATTTTTATAGTCTATTCAAAATAATGAGTTTTGATAATTTTCAAATTTAGCATTATAATGACTCTTCAAAATTTCTACTCTTCGTTGCTCGAAGGTTAATGAGATTACTGAAATGTTTGCCATAGAGAATAATATCCATTACGCTCTCAATAATTAGAATAAGATTTCTAAGAAATGTCGTTATTCAACAATATGTATTAGTTGATCTTCAGGCTATCTCTGTTTACGTGAAGTTTAAAGTTCGTATGTCTATTTTCAACGATTGATTTAAATTATTAGATGAATACAGGTCTATAAAACAGTTTAGCACCCTCTCTAATTTCTTGATTATAACATTTTATTAATGTTAAATGTATGTATTAATCTAACAGATTTAAATACTTGTCGATCGTGAAAATCTAAAATATGTTTACTATATCATCGAATGGATGTCTACGTGATATTTTCTTATATTTTCAGAATTTCTTGCTCACTGTTATTGGTAGTCGTCATCTGCAGAACTCTCTTTTACGACAAGCAAAGCGTTTCCAATACTCGAATCGGTTCTATGGCCTGAGGTATTTTGAAATTTGTTCTTTCAAACGTACAC